CGGGGGGAGGCAGCGCTGGCCGGTGCCCTCCGGGTGCCCCCGCTCCCCGCCCCGGGGCCGCGGCCGAGGTCTCCCGCCCGCCGCTCACCTGGGCGGCTGCCGAACGCTGCCGGGAAGCTGGGTCTCTGCCTGCGTACGTGTGCGTGTGAGGGCCCGGCACAGCCACGGCGTATTGCCCGGGTCAATTTCAGTCTGCAGCTTCCCCAGCGGTCTGTAGGAGTCCCGGTGAAATACTCTCATTTGGGGTCTCTACGCACCTTGCTAAGATTTGGAGCTGAAGCCGAGTTGTTACTAGGAAGAGATTGGGAATAACTTTCCTTCGTGTCGTGCAAAACCACGAAAAATTAGGGTATGCAAACCCCTGAGTGAGCTTGTGTTCACCTGAGATGTGAATGGGAGGTCTGCAGGTAATATAACTCCATGTATTTTCCACAGTCCTAGAGGTAAAGGTTAGTTCGATAAGCTGTAATTAGACTTTATCCGAATTGCTTAGAGGATAATATATGGAGTATATTACACAATTTTATTATTTAATTGTAAATGTAAACTCCATGTGGGTCCAAGGTCTTGTGACACACGCATTACAGCTTCTGATATCAAGTAACAGCTTTTTCTTGTTTATTTCATTCTAATACTAAGTTTATAACAAGTAAATGAAATTAATTTTGATAATTGAAAATCTTCTAAATAACCCATGTTGTGGTTTCTGTGAAGTCTGTTCAAACTTTGCAGAATATATTTGAAGTCTCGTAAAATACACTTTATTAAAGCATGTCATGCTAAAACCACCAGTCCCCGTGAGATTTCTGTTGGCAGCACTTGCTCCTTTCTGTAAAGATGAAGGGAGGCAGAAGAAACAGAAAACTATTTCAAGAACGTAACAGAAGCTTTTACATCAGCTCTGTTCTTGGTGTTCTGTATCTTCTCTGTCAAACTTAAGCGAAACTTACCAGAGTTTTTGAAAGTATAGAAAATGCCATGGGTTCTGGTTTAATGTCTCTTTAAATTTTATGTGATTCTCCAAACAAAATACTTCGGGATAAGTAACGCTAAGCTTTGACCTCACCTAAGAGATTTTCAGGTAGTTTTTGTGACACTCAGAAGTACCCTTCCAATGCTAATAAGCATAAGAAAAATGTCATTTTTAGGTCCCTGAGTTTGGTGTAGGCTGGTTTTCATGCCCAGAAACTAAGGGGAATCTCAAAAAATACATAGAAAGGTTTTTGTAGTAATTAGTCTTTCATTCTTGGTATTATGTGCTGTACTTGTTTAGGAATCTCCCAAACTGACTTTTTGACCTCTGCTGATCCTTGTTTCTCTTTTTGACTAGGTT